CAGTGCTAATTACCAAAAAGGATAGAGAAGCGTCCAAATCTCAAAACATTCAGATATGGGGGGGTCTAGCAAAGAATACAGAAAATACTGCTGGTGAGCAGTGCTTCTGATATTGCCAATTATAATTCCCTATTGAAAGCTAACTTTAAGTACCTTACTTTGGGCTCTGTAATCTGAAAATGTTGGCTGACAATTATCATAGTAAAAAGCAGAAATTAATGTCCTAATTCCCTCTGTCTCTGAGGTAAGGCAAAATATAAGTGTATTACTATAGGCATGGCAGTCTTAGAAAGGGAATGAATGTGATGTAATGCTTTGGTGCATTTGGACATAAGTGACACCCCAGGCAGACTGCTGTCTAGGATCTGACAGTCCTTGGTACTAAGACCAGGTTAGTCCAGTTCATTGCTCTGGTGGGTAAGGGACTTTGTTGATGAGTTTGGAACTGCCCTTCCATATTTCCAACTCTGCACAGAAGCCAGAAGCCAGCTGGTGATGTTATACAACCATCTGTCATTAACAATGCAGAATTTTAACTTGATCAGACTTAATGATAGGACATTTAGTGACTTGACTTTTTCAAGAGATGGTGAGAAGTCTTTTTGTTCCTGATCAGAACCTAGAAGGAAAAAAATCCTTCTTTCTTTGGCTGCAATTCCCTAATCAGAGATTCTCTGGAGGACACAGATTTAACCCTGAAAAGTCCTATTAATATCATTGCTTACATACTTTTAAGTACTTCCTGTCTTGGTTTTCACAAGCCAGAGCCAGTGGCTTGGGAAACTAAGATGCAAATTAAGTAGAATTCAGGTATTCACATCCACATAGGCATGAATTTGGGGATCACTTTATTGCTTAGGTACCTGAAAGTCTGTAGGCACTGCTTGTGAGTGTTTTTGAAAAACACCCCCAAAAAACCGCAAACCAAAACAAAACAAAAAACTTAAGATATCTAAAATCCTGTTACTATACATAGCCAAAGGCACTGGCTAAAGGTGGGGAGTCCTTTGTCTTTAAAGTGTCCCAATTTCATTGGAGGACAGAGTGCTCAGCTTTGTCTAGCTCTCATCTATTAAAGAGGTGATGTTGGGTAGCAGGTAGAAACAGAGTCTGAGTAGATCTGCTGAACCATAAATATGCTAAGGTCTGCATCCACAAGTTATTTGGGTGTCACAATGTCATGTGCTTTCTCACCAGCCCAACAACTCTCTAATTTACTTCATGCAAAATAGAACAGGCTCAGCTTCCTAAAATAGCTCACTGTGGTTGTTAGAGCACTCGCCTTGGAGGACAGTGATGTCAGTTTGAATTACCTGAGGCTAGGGAAGGAGTTGAACCAAGATCTGCCACTTCTACTCTAACCACTTAGCAGAAGGGGGAGCACACTGCCTCCCCCCAGGTTTTGACAGGCAGCAGGTACCACCAGGTTTTGTGTGGCTCCTAAACCTGTTCAAACCCACTGGCAAGGAGAACAACACTTGGGTTTTTAGATCCTGATGATGCTTAGGTGTGAGCCTGGAGCCAAGCACTGTCAAGATAAGAGATGCTTCTGGGCCTGCTCCACAGTGGATTTTTTTGTTGAAAACAGAGGTTTTGAAGACTGCAGTTTTGGACTTAAGCTTCTGAAGTGGGAATTGGCAGGCTCTAACCTAAGTTCTGGCCCTGAAAATCTATAGTTCGAATCCTGGGAGTCCGGGATTGTCTCCTAATATAGGCAAAACTCCCATTAGATTAAATGTAGTTATATTAGTCCGCACTGTCCAGGTGGTGTGTGGCTATAGATCATCAGTGTTTTGGTTTAGGTGTAATATTTCTCATTTACCCAATTAGAAAAGCGTATTTCAAATCTGTCCAGGTCCGTGCTTATTCATATATACTCCTTTTTAAAGGGAACCAAGTTGAAACAGCCTAAAATCTACCATGAAACCACTTCGAAAACCATCACAACAGTGGAGCTGCTATTCTATCCAAAGAAATAAGGTTCATAGATTTCTGTGCTAGGTATGTGTGATACAGATGTGGAAGCGTAAGAACTAGAACAAATGAATTCCTATTCAACTAAGCCAAAACTTTCAGTACACAGCCCTACCATACAGTCTTTTCTGCTTCAAAGGGAGTGTGCTTTCATGGGGACATGAGGCTGGAACACAGCCACAAGAAAAAATAAGAGTAAATGATTCACAATTGGGTGGTTTGAGGGCAAAAAAGTCTAGCAGGAGCTAAATCCAGAATTCTAATATACAACTCTTGGACACTACAAGCAGGACCAATTAAAAATTTCTGGGACAAACACTGAGCTGTGGTGCTCCGCAGATGTTTCCTTTTAGTTCTACTGGACTCGTGTCAATGAAAACGTGGCAATATCTGCATAGCAACACATGGAAATTTCCACAGACCCAAATGGCAACAGGACCTGCTTTGGTGAAGCCTGTTTTAAGAACAGCTGAATGCTATTTTAGTGAGAGTGTTCTGTGGCTGTTGTCTTCAGCGTGCATGAGAATTCAACTGTCTTCCCCGTTGTCAGTTTTCTTAGCTGAACATTAACAAAAATCATACAATTAGGGATAGATGTAAGCTCTTCTCTCTTTCCCACATCAGAGCCACTTTGATCCATTTGGAATATGGATTAATAGCAGGAAATCCCCAGGGGAAGCAGGGTCCAACTTATAGCTGTTTATAATAGACATAGCTATACTTGTTGTTCATATACACAAATGGAGGGAGAGTGGTAAAAGGAAGGCTAGTGAAATCTGCGTCAAAACACTTTAAATTCCTAGTTTTGATTGGGGACTATGCCTAGTAACAGTGGGCAGTTTCTGGTACTTGGTAATATGTAAATTAATGGGTGTTGCAGGTTAGACTAAAAGTGCTGTTTTAAAGGTTTGCAGATGTTGTTAGAAAAGGGAAAACTTTTCCCACCTTCAGCTTTGCCATCCCCCCCCCAGCTCTCCGTATTATTTTTGTTCTCTCTTTCTTAAGTGCAGTTTGTGGGGTAAGGAATGGATCATAGCCTAAGTCACTCCAAATAAACATCTTTGCACAAAGCAGAATAAGTGAATTGCTAGAGCTGTTATAGAAATACATAAGTAATCGTCTGTCAATTTACTTGTATTATAAGGGGGTGCATGAAACACTGTTTGACAGTACAAGAATACATCCAATTCATTTTAACCTCCTACTTAGGTGTTGGAAGATAAGATTTTATACTGAACCTGTTTTTCTTAGCCTGCTTGTGGGCTTAATTTTTACATCTTTTTTTTGTAAAACTGGATTTACCAATGGCCTAAGATGAAGCATATGTGATAGTGCTGTACTTACTTGTCTTAAGCTGTAGTGTTTGACACTGGGGATGGAAGGAGGGGAAGGTGAAAGGATTTCCTAGGACCTGAAATACATTTTTCTAATTACTTAAGTGTAATATTTCTAATTTAAGATAACATACCAGTGATCCTCAACCTATGGCTCAGAGACCCTCTTTGCTGCACTTTAATAGAATTACTGTAATTGTATAGTGTGTGTCCGCCTAACTCTCAGAGTGTTATATGTTGAAACCAAGGCAACAGGCTGGCTCATTTTCCCCAAACCATGATGCTAATTGCCTTTTTGAAGACTGCAGTACCTGACTACTTATTCAGAGGGAATCACTCCAGACATTTATCATCTTCTGGCTAAGACACCAGCTTCTTGAAACCATTAATTTGTTTTCCATCAGTTTCTCCTTGCTTCTCCTGCCAGACTTTTCTTCCTTTCCTTTGAAAACAGCAGCACTCAGTCTTTCAGCTAACTCTGCCAACACATGCTGTGCACAAACTGTCCAATTTAGTACGATTTAACCTTGAGTTGCTGTATCTTATTTTGCATCTACTGTTCTGTAAGCATGTGATTGTTCCTCCCACCCCCATGTGTCCAAGGATTTCAGTTGAGGTGTGAAATCAAATGGCATCCTTACAGAGCTGCAGTAATTTAGACAGAAAGTAAATATGTAGAAATGAAAGGAAAAAATGTCAGAGTTGCCTTCCTCTACAACACCTACACAGTCCCACTGACATCACAGCAGGTACCAGTTTTAAGTTTAGGACCTGGTACCTTTTTAAAAAAAGATTTTTATGTCACTGCTGACAAGTGCAAGGGATAGAACTAGACAATCCAGTTCTATCTGTTACTGAAGTAAGGATGCTGTTTAGTGAGTTGTAGTTTTGCTGAGTGAACCTCTATTAAGGTATGATGTTTATTGTCCTGGAAAAGTAAGGGGGACTCCCCTTCCAATTAAGTAATTGGAAATACCAGTTTTCATGTAGCTCTTGAGGTACCCATCTGTGCAAGCTCTATTCCTCTGAAGATGTATTTTCACTTCCTTGTAGTAGCCTAACTTTTACCAGGAACTACACTATTACTTTCTGCCTCTTTCATTTATTAGTCGCAGTAGCTGATTGTTGTGTAGGACAGTGTTGACTCACCATGCCAGGAAGCTGCAGTTGGGGTTATTTCTTATTTGAAGTCAATGGTAGAAGCCACTCTTGCTTCCTTTCAATTTGATGCTTCTTCTGTACACACCAGTAAAAGTAACACAGTGACCTTAATTATGTCTTTGCTATATTTGTTCTAAAGCATGAATTAGGAATTTAATACCATGAGATGTTAATGTTTGAAGCTGACAACCAGACTGAGAATTAATTTGAGGTAAAGGATTTTTATTAGATTCTTCCTCCTCCTCCCTGGGAGGAGCTATTTGACCAGCAATAAACTGAACACAAAGTCAATATTGACTTCCATTCTGCATACTATACACCCAGTTGCTGTGTTCTACAGAAAGGGAACATTTGAGTTCACATGAATCTGGTTTTAGCTGTTCTTAAAACAGATTTAGTCAGACATGTAACTGCAGAAGTTGTTGGTAGAATTTAGTGGTGCATGCCAACTATTACTCGGAAGTATCCAATGTTGCTTATTTGCATTTATGTTAATACCATTAAAAAAAATCTTATACTGTTGAAGACACATACCTTAAGAAAAAAATATCCTTTAATTCATATACAAACTGACAAGGCTGTGCTCTCTATGAAAAATACAATTTCTGAACATTTATAAATCAAAGTTGATGAAACAAATCATCCCAGGAATCCAACTTTCTGTCGCGTAGTCCCTAAACTTTCTTCTTTGTCTAAGATCTTCTGTAGGGAAGCATGCAACACCTTGCCGACCTTTTTTCCTGTCTGTAAGATAGGAAAGTCAAGACAAAAGAATCATTTGATTTTTTTTTTTTTTTTTTTTTTTAAACAGGAAGGGAATTTGCATGGAACACTTCCTTCTCTCAGACTTCTCTTAATAAATTGTGTACCAGATGTAAGCTGTAAACAGCATAGAATCATAGAAGTAGGGTCAGAAGGGACCTTGTAGATCTTCAAGTCTGACCCCCTGCCTGGGCAGGAGAAAAACTGGGCTCAAATGACTCCAGCTAGGTAGGCATCAAGCCTCCTCTTAGACCCCGAGGGTAGGAGCCAGCACCACTTCCCTTGGAAGTCGGTTCCAGATCCTAGCCGCCCTGACCGTGAAGTAGTTCTTATGGATGTCTAATCTAAACCTACTCTCCAACAACTTGTGGCTGTTATTCCTTGTTATGCTAGGGGGCGCTAGGGGAAACAAAGGTCTCTCCCAAACCCTTCTGGTCCCCCCCTAGTGAGTTTATAAAGGGTTGCTAGGTCCCCCCTCAGCCTTCTCTTGTGAGGGCTGAACAGGTTCAGGCCCCGCAGTCTCTCATTGTAGGGTCTGCCCTATTGTCCCTGGATCATTCGGGTGGCCCTCCTCTGGACCCTTTCAATGTTGTCCTCGTCTCTCCTGAACTGGGGTGCAGAGAACTGGACACAGTACTCCAGCTGTGGCCTGACCAGTGTTGCATAGAGGGGGAGGATCACCTCCTTGTCCCTGCTAGAGATGCACCTGTGGATGCATGACAAGGTTTGGTTAGCCCTTCCAACCATGACCTCACATTGTCGGCCCATGTTCATCTCAGCATATAAGTAATAGTTTAGTTATCTTCAGCATATAAGTAAAAGAACGATTAGGGGGTGAAATTCTTAAAGCAACTGTGCATTAAGGCAGTTGCAGTGCTCCCATGCATGAGCTCATCAGTGGACTGGTCCAGTATGCTCTGGGCCACTTAGGTGTCTTAAAAAGGGGCTAGATTCTGACTGTTGAAGACCAACAAGGGACTGTATCTTTGCAAAAGCTCAACATGATAAACCTAGCAGAATCCATTTTTGTGTTAAGTTGCATATTTCCAGTGGAAGAAGAAATACTGGAGGTATGACTGAGCTGGATCCTCTGTTGTGATAGCCCTGGAAAAGTTTTAGCTGATAGGATCAGGGAGCCATAGCAAAATTGACACCATACTATTTAGGGGGAAACTGAACCTATTGTTCTCAGGAATTCAAGCCTAGATCAGCCTATTGGTATCATATATGAATTTCTATAACTACAGGCCTGTAAGTCTCAGCACCATGAAAATATGGACAGACCACAGTGATGCAGATCCTATGTGTAGGCAGCCAGGCTGTAGAGGTTATGAATCTCTTGCACACAGGAAAACTGTTCTATACCAGATTGTCTGGTTCAAGCTGGGGGACAGAGAGGGTAGTCTGTCTGTACAGCCACTGGACAAACTTCCAGGGGAAGAGGGGACAGAAGCTGCCGCTATAAAAATCAGGTGTTTTGACTGCAATTGTACTGGTGTTCAGCAGCCCAGAGAGGAGAATTAAGTATTTTGCTCTTGCTTCTCCTCAAGTGTCTGGTGAAGCCATTTAATCTGGCTTGGTGCCTCTATCCAGCCTTTGGCCCCCATTCAAATGGGAATAATGTTGCCATCTAGGTTATTTCTGCCTGGTTCCTTTGCAGATAATTGTAACCCAGCAGGAGGTGTGGCTTCCCAAGACTGTTTTATCATGCTGCTTTCCTCAAGGGATGTACTGGCCGGTATGTCTCTTCACCCCCAAGCTGGCAGTCCTGAGCACTTTTCTGACATAGAGCCAATTCACTGGAGGATATAAGCAGCAAGGAAGAGTTATGAAACTGTTCCATTTGACATCCCATATACTGTGCCTTTGATCTTTCTGTTCCCCAAACAGGCTGCTGTGACGGGAACAGGACCAACAAGACCTCCACCCACTGAAAACATTCTTCTGCTTTGCTTAAAGGGTTTTTTCTCTTCAGTAAACTGCATCATTTTAGACAGGAAATTTCATTTAAAAAGAAGTGAGGGCAGCATGGACTATCAGTTAAGCTTCAACTCTTAGAATGGCACAGGATTCAATACTACTTATGGCACCACTTGGAGCTTTTGAAAATCTGCCCCTAAATCAGCCATATGCCTCACTCAGGCATATTTGAAAATCCCAGCAGCCACCAAAATATACTGAAAACAAATTCTGACCGTCAATGCACATCTGTGAAGCCTCTAGAACGTCCATTGAGGTAGGTTAAGAAGAAGCATCTTTTTAGGGGTGCACTGATAGAGATTTTGGGGGCTGATACCGATAGCCAATTTTTAAGGAGGCCTAATCAGCCGATGCTGATCCGATCTGATACACAGACCTGCAGCTTGAAGAGCTGCATGCAGCTGATTACTCTGTTGTGGTGGAAAGGGAGGGGGAAGGGGGGGCTGATCAAGGCTGCCGTGGTGAGGGAGGAGTAGGGCTGGGGCAGGGCATAGGACAGGGCAACAGCTCGTCTGGGGGGTATGGGAAGGTGGGGGCAGCTCCTGTGCAACCTGGGGGGGGCGTGTGCCCTCAGATTTGTGTGGGGTGGGGCAGGGCAGGGCTCTTCCTGGTGGGGGCTGAGCCAGGCTGCGCTCAGGGCAAGTGGCACTGGGAAAAGGGCTGCAGCCACTCCAAAATTCACCACAGCCTCCCAACGCTGCCACCACCCACCCCAAGGACAGCCCTGGCCCAACCCACCCCCGCACCACACACTAGGACTGGTGCAGCCCACCCTGACCATGCCCCATGCAGATCCAGGGGAACACGCAGCAACAGGAGCCACCCCCGGATGAGCCATGGTTCTGTCCTGTGCCCCACCACACCTGGGCAGTGCCTGCCCCTGCCCCACTCCCTCCCTCACCCTGGGGCACTTGATCTGCCTCCCTCCATACCCCTCCCCACCCTCCTCCCCTTCCACCACAGACTTACCAGTTACACGCAGCTCTCCAAGCTGCCAGGCTGTGCTCCTCGTTGCCTACATGCTGTGCTGCGGCTGCATGCACACATGGGCATTTATCAGCTAAATTACTGGCCACATTAGGCTGATTTCCAATACAGTCAATTTTCTTTATATCAGTGCTGATCTAATATCGGACCAATGTATCGGTGCACCTCTAGTGTCTTCATCTTATAACTAGTCCACTGAGGCACAGAGATGAAGCAAGTTCTTTAAGAGCAGGAACTAGCTCAATGGTACGAGTCAAAATTAGTGATCTGCTGGAGACAACAGAGCATATGCATGCCAAGTGTGAAATTTTGGCTCTAGACCAATTGGTTTTAAACTAAGCTCTGATTTCTGCATTCCTCTCTAAGGCTACATTTATACAATTTTGAAGACTTCAGAAGCAATGCCAATATTGAGATAGAGTGCAAACAAAACACTTAGCTTGTGTGTTTAGTCATTTTTGGATGCACTAAGGCCAAGCCCAGGCCTAAGATTTCTTACACTAGGAAAAAAAAAAAAAAACCTTAATTAGAACCATAACAAAGGTTTAAAGCAGAATTCCCAAGTCAGCTTCATCTGCAGCTGGCAGATGTAGATCCTTGTTACAGGAAAGGAAGAGCAAAAACATTAATAAGAGGAACAATATATCAAGAGTGAGGCAGTATATGATACTGATTACTACATAAGTTAGTCACATGAAAAACAAGCTATGCAAAAGAAGAGCATGTAAACAGTAATTCACTTATGTGATAACCACTGTAAGTTACAAGGAGTTTTATTTCTTCAAGGTGTACGGAGATGTAACAACTGTACCAAGAACAAGCGGCACAGATACAAGCCAGACATCCTTAGGATTCTGTAGCCATACATGTGTCCTCACTTCCTTTAGGGTCAAAACCAGGGCAATTCAGCTCAATTGCATCACACCAGAATGATATAAAAACAGCAGCTACCCCTTCCCTTTTAAAGCAGCTAACATGTACTTTTGTCCATACCCTTTGTGTTTCAAAGTGAAATCAGGACTGGATCTTGTACTATAAAGAGCTAAGGTATTTTAGAGGACAATTCTCAGAAACAAACCCAGCAATTTGCAGGGCTTCCCCAAAATGGAACCTGTTCCTAAATGAATTTCAGATTCTAATGCTGCTCTCTGGGAATCTTTCCCAAGTCACTTTTTGCCCCTAAAATTGTCACTGTTACTTTACTCCTCTATACCTACGTGAAAAGCTGCAATAAGCTTAAGTTTATAAAAAAGGTTGAAATAAAGCTCTCTTACCTCCATCATCTCAAAGATACTCTCTGGATCAAGACTACCTTTGCCTAGTTTCTTCATACAAGTAAGCAAGCCTTTGCTGGTCACAGAAATAAGCAGGCTAGCCAAAGAGCATGCTTCCTCCTGAAGAGTAGCATCAACCACATGTCTACAACCAATCTATAAAAAAAGCAATGATGAGAGGATATTCCAATGTGGAGTTCAAGCTCCTTGCTGAATGATGGATTAGAACATTAGCAGTAACTCCATTTACAAAGACTGATGTTAGTATCACAGTGTGCAGATAATTTAATGAATATTAATACTGCTTTTCTTTATGTACCAAGTCATCAGTTGTTAGAGCCCTTATATCTCTTACCAACATGACAGCATGGATGTGCGATACATATACCTCTTACTACTTTACCAGTCTGATTTAATTCATCCACATAACTTATTTTAAATTTCTAGCCAACTTCATTATTATTGAACCCTTCTTGTCATCCAAAGTCTCTCTCTTGACTGAGGAATCTTCTCCTAAAGAGAAGTGTGTACTTTATCTCAGGAACGGCAAGAGTCTGTCTGTTTCACTGACAACTTTTCTGTGATTTATGAAACTGACTTATAAACAGGGTTCTGTGTAATGCATGCAAGTCTGTGGATGCTCAAGTAAAGAGAAACACACTTGATACTATAGAAATTGCAGTATTTCTGGAATGGCTGGAGAAAGCAGCAAATGATTCAGCATCAGAAAACAAAGTCAAAGAACTGCAAAATTCCTCAAGGGCTAATACAGTGAATGCAGTTTAGTCTATGGATCAAAAAGGAGCATCAGTATCGAGAAAGGAGTGGTAGTCCTTTTTTCCTGTGTTGGGAAAACAAAGAGTTTTTGCAACACAGAGCCCTTGCTGGAGAGGAGTGAGGGAGAAGTTAGGTTAAGTCCCTCTACCTTTCTCTTTCTCAGTTTGAGAAATGGCAGTAATAATGCCTACTTATCTTACAAGGTGTTTGGAAGCGAGTCGAGATATCTACCTCACTGGCCAAGCAAGCAGCTGATGAACAGTAGTTAAAATCCCTCCAGACATAAAGAAGAGTAATAGCAGTTGCAGATCTTCACTTTAACCCATAACGTGTGGTATAGAAAAAGAAATTCGTTCCAAAAAAATGTTCTCCTTCAGTCAAAAAACCATAATTAAATATGGAGAAACAAAAACTTCTAAATTATACACAGATTAGTTCAGCTTGCAGCTCTGATAACTAAGCAAGGAGTTTGTCCTAGCAAAAAATGGTAGGTCAATCCTTGTAACTAAAATCTAGACAGAAGTTGCAGATAAATGAGAAGAAAAGGTTTACAACTTCCAGACTTACTTTGCTTAATGTGATGATGCAGGGTACATTTTCCACATTAAGTCGAATACAGTCATAAGGGTCATCAGACAGCTCAATTTCTCTTGAACCTTCTTCAATCTCTAGAACACGTACTTTAGGTATCCTATTTGAAATGAAACCATGTGCATAAATCACTGGCAATAACTATTTCCTTTACAAATAAGGAAAATCCTACATATCTAATTAGAAAAGAAAGATACTAAAGTTTCTCAATATTAAAAATTAACATGGAAAATATATAAAGCTTTTCCATCTGTATTTCTTACTCCAAATATGCTTACAGTTCTGTTAGCAGTGGAAGATCACTTTTAAGTCTCAACTCTGAAGAATGTTTCAGGATTTGTATTACATTAATAATGCTTAAAAAAAACATTTAGAAATTTTAAAATACATGAGAAAGCAATGGATTCTTCCACCATGTTTGGAACAGAGTGTACTAACAAGATACAGAGAAAAAAATGTATGTATTTTTTTCAAAAATTTGTGCATGCATGAAGTAACACACAAGACCTTTGTTTCGTGTTATTTAGAAGAGGAATTATTCAGGATACTTATTTTAACATGTATGCCATATTATCACCGTCAAGAATCTCCACCAATATACTATTGCATGTGCAGAATGTGTAAGTGCTATGGAAATGTTGCAAAACTGTTTTAGGTCCAGGTTACTTATGGTAATGAATAAAATCAGAACAATTTTAGTTTGGACTTGGTGACTTAAGAGGCCCCCTTCTAGTCCGACAGTCCTTTGTCCCTATACAATTATTCTCAGCTTTCAATATCTTGTTGCTCAAGTGAAGGGTCTCATTTACCCTGCTGCTCTACTGAGGACCGCTGACGCCAGGAAGCTTGTTGCCATAAAGAGTTGCCATAGCCTGGAAAATGTTTAGTTCTAGGGCATTAAAAAACCCAGTCTTTTATACATCTGTACTTGAAAAATATAAAACATCTCCATGCTTTCCTGGAAAGTTAGAAGCCATGCAGATATTCAAGGCAAAGGCAGCATGCATTTGTATTAATACTTTTGCAGCATAGTGTCATGTGTAACTAGACTCTGAATGTTAGTGTGCGCATGCTGCAACAGATACCTTACAATAAAATCCTAGGTGTGATCTAATGAACACTGTTCTTAGAAAAGCAAAGCTATTTTACTGGCCCCTGGCAAAATATTTTAGTTATTTGCATTTCACATGCAGAAATCCATCAAGTACTTCGCAAAGAACTTATCCAGTGCCAGGGGAAAGCAAGGCACATGCCCTACATAATATTGACCCAATATAAAATGAAGATCTTCAGAATAAAATACAAATCTTTTGAATAGTCTTACATAGAGATTATTTAAAATGTTTTGTAGAATTACATAAGAACAGAGATACAAAAACAACTATTTTTCAGTAAAAAATAATTTAACAGTATTAAAAAGGGAGATGACAAAAAAAACCAAGTGGCTATCCACAGGCTGCTCCAAATGACAGGGTATGAAGGAGAAGGTTTCTATAAACAACAGTGGCAAGACTGCTTGCAGAAGATAAAAGCAGTGTTCGATCTGCAGAGGGAAGTAAAGAGGTACACACTGGGAAGTATGCTAAATTAAATCCATACAGAGTCATTTCTTTACATCGCTATGAAATAAATATGAAACTGGAAGCAATACCTGAAGAGAAAATGGCAGGTTGTTTCTTTATATGTGCAAGAGGGAAAGTTAAAACCTCTCTACATGCTAGAGTTTCAAGAGCTAGGATTTGGAAAGCCACTATGCAACAGTTCTCAACATTATCAGATCAGAGGCATCTCTTATTAAACTCAAGACATCCTTTGGAAAATGCCAGCTCTTAATTTTCACTCATTTATTTGACTACAAAAAAAAAAAAAAGATCAATTCTTATGTTACAAAAATCTCATAAAGACCACAACAGGTCAGAAGTGTTTAACATTATGGATTCCTATTAGGAATCTCCAGGCTTATCTTGTGAATCACGTGGAGGTGTTTGTACCTGGTAGCATCCTTAAAAGGATCTCATGGTACCATTGTGGGCCATGACGCTTTGGCTGAGACTAGGAGAAGGAACAGTGAGAGTCAAGACAAGAGGAGATGAAGCCACTAGGTCAATAAATATGTGCTTAACCTGGGCACATATTTTTATTAATATATGTGCTTGTGTTGGGTACAATGGTGTCATTTTGAAAGAAGAGATCATTTAGATCCATTGACACAAACCCCCTGAAGTCTCCATTATGGATTCCTTCCAGCCTCAAGTACAGAGCTGGCAGAGCTCTCATAGAAACCAGAATTTGTTTTTAAGGATGAAGATACAGTTCTACGTGGGTTAAGTAGGTTTGAGTACTGAAAAAACCTTCTGCAGCTAGAACTTCACTTTAGATTCCATGTTTTAGTCAAAAGCAGCTCTTTTTAAAGATTGGCATATAAAGCTCTGAAAAAGTTTATAATAAAAATTTGGTTATAAGTGAATTGGTAAGGAAGCAGTATTGCTCTAATGAGATTTTGAAAAAGAGAAGTTGATAGAAGACTCAGGCTCAGAGCAGTTAGATTTGAGCTGTCTGAGAGGCTAGTTTTAAAAGAATGTCATTTTAAAAACTAAACATGACCAAAATGATTTTTTTTTCTGGGAGTAAGTATTCATCACAGGCAGCTTTAAGGTAGTCTATAAAGCCATCTTCTGAAAAAACTTGGACAATGGAAAAAGGGTAGAGGCTGAACAACCTTTCAGTCCTGAAGGCCAGAGATTAAATAAATTGAAGAATTTGGTGGTGTCTTCATATACTCTATAATTAAAGTTCTTCTTACTTCATACTTAAGCACTATCTTCCAAAGCAACTCTTCCAAGTACTTTTTTTTTTTTTTTTTTTTTTTTAAGT